TTCTGTGAAATGTGGGACCAAAAAACCTGCCAGGGTCAAAGGCGTACATCGACGCAGACGTCCAAGCTACGCAGGGAACGCATTTACGATGAAACCGAGCACCGCCGCGAGGCAGTTGCCAAGGGACCGCCGCTGGCGTCTGTACTGTAGAGACCGGCGACCGTTAAGGTCAGAGAGGAACGAACACACACATGCTACGATTATAATGCAATTAAATGCAAAGGTGCAAGCGAGCTGGACAAGAATGACGAAAATCACCAGTCACCTAGCTGTGTTTGGAGATTTGTGTTTGTCCTTTGTCCCTCTTGTTCCCCTTCTCCAGGGATTATTTTCGACACACATGCGCCTAGTCCGGGTCGAACCAACGAGTAACTTCGTCTACCTTTTTCCTCTCTCGCATATACAACATAATCCTAGCGACACCTACCACAACATCCCCCTTTCCCAGAGACATTTCTCGTAGACGAACAAATCACAAAACACGACCTCACTACAAGTTCAGTCTCTTTGGAGCTACTACTCGACGGCCAAATCTAGTGCGTCGAGGAGAGCGGAGGCACACATTGGCTGGTACCTGACTTGCATCAGCTCTCGGACTTTCCCTTGGCCCTGCGGGAGCTCCCTCAGCAGAAGGCTGCGGAGAGGGAGCTGTAACCGGTCTTCTTTGTTCGGAGTCTTCGGGTTGCAGACTATTGGCTCCATCTGCGGCAGGAATCGACAGAACCGGAGCTGGCAGGACGGGAACTGGATTCTGTTGGCTCCCGAAAGCAACTGGGTGTCGCCGACTTCTCTGCAATACACACCACGGAGTTCCAACGATGTAAGGGCGTGGGCGTTGCCCTCGGCTAAGTACTTGGGCAGGGCACTGTGCGTCGGTCACCCACACGTCTTCGCCACGTGAAAATTCCCTGAGCTCGCGCACTCCATGACAACGGTTGAAGTCGGAAGCCTGGCTTCGCTTTGACGCGCTGTCTCGCTCCAAGAAGACCTGTGACTTAGACCATGCCGGCTGGAGTTTGTCAGCAGCCTTGGGTACTTGAGTCCGCAGCTGTCGACCCATCTGCAGCTGTGCAGGCCTGAAACCCAAGATGCCTGGAGTATCTTTATAGATTAGAAGTGACAAAAACGGATCGTCCCCTTCAACCAAGGGGTCCTTCACTGTCCGCACTATACGCTCCACTTCTCCGTTTGACTGTGGAAATCCCGGACCGCTAGTAACGTGCTTAAATCCATATACCTTTGCAAATCTGGCGAAGTAGTGGGAGGGAAACTGGTCCGTTGTCCATTTGAAGTAACTCCGGGATTCCGCAATGCGCCTCGACAGCTTTTACTGCAGAAATCACGGCCTGGACTTGACGTGCTTCGCAGTGTCCCTTCTTCGAGATAACGTGAGTGATAGCCCACAAGGAAGTAAAAATTCGTGGCCGTTCAAGTGGAATCAATTAACTCCCACCTGTTGCCAAGGTAGCTCTGTTGGAGGTGACCTCATGAGAGGTTCAACCCGCTGTACCCTCGTAGATGCGCAGCGCTCGCACTTCTTGATCATGGTTTGATTTGATCGCCAATACTAGGCCATCACACCGAGTCTCGAGCCCGTGCCTTGCAGCAGTTCACTCCTTGGTGTCCCTCATGAATGGTCTGCAGGACCTTAGGTCGCAGCGATTCAGGATTCGCGATAGTCCTCTTTTGAGAAGCACACTGTCACAAACGATTTGTTCTCCGCGGTAGTTCCAGTACTTCATTTGGTGACATGGAACCTTGGTCTTCTGAGGCCAACATTGGTCACAGAACTTTGCCAGACCTGTACACTCGCCATCTGCTGACTGTTGTTGACGGACCAGTTCGAGATTGACGTGCACACCTTCTTGGATTGCGTGAACCACGCTCTGGACGTACAGCTCTAGGCTGTCGCAGGTTGACGGAGTCGCCCGGCCCAAAGGCGCTCAGGGCAGGGTGTCGGCCGTTGCCAGGAGCTTCCCAGGAAGGTAAAATATCTGGTACTGATACCGCATCAACTTGATTCTCAGTCGCTGAACTCGTGGAGGAAGAAGGCCCGCGGCCTTGTCGCCAAGCAACGCAGCCAAAAGCTGGAGATCGGTTTCCACGGTAAACCGGAATCCCCGGACGTACTCATCGAAGCGACGCACGGCCCATGTCATTGCCGAAGTCTCCTTTTCGGTCTGGCTGTACCTCTGCTCGGTCGCTGTGAGTGACCGCGAGGCAAAGGCCACCGCCCGACACTCACCTGATGATTGGTCCTGGAGCAGGACTGCCCCGAGACCGAAAGAGCTGTAGTCAGCAGACACTAGGGTCGCGTGCTCCGGATTGTAGCAAGCCGTACAAATGTCTGAAGAGGGAATAGTCTTTACACTCTCGCATATAGAACATAATGGTAGCGATACCTACTATAGCATCTACGTCATTGTGACATATGTACGTGCTGCATCTGGTCGGTTCAGGAAACATGGCGCGAGCGCCGTAGCGAGACGCTCAAAAGCAAAAACGGCGACAGTTTGTTTCATCGGTTCGGTTTAAGTTCGGTGCTGTGTGCGACTCGAACGCTCTCGTGAGGACGTTCTAGCCGTCTGTGAAGTTATTCTAAACTCCTCGAGTAACACGGAAGGTGATGTGGAATTACCACTACCTCAACTAGCAACCAGCAGTTTTTCATGAATTAAGACGACTATGCGATGAATGACAAAAATAATCCTTGTCCAGCTCGCTTGCCCCTTTGCATTTAATTGCATTATAACTATGCCATGAAGCGGCGCTACGACGCCGAGATCGGTTCGGCGGTTTGAGTTTAAACTTGAAGGCTTGCCATAATGTTAGCTCCAGAGTTCATAAAATAGTTAACAGCAGGAGTGTCGAAAAAATGCCGAGGCGGTGCTCTTTCTATCGAATGGCTTGTCGAGCCAGCCATTCGATGCCACCCGGAGGCGAAGAAACGCGAGTTGTGTGTGGTTCGGAATTTCTCCTTGCTGGGTTAGTATTTTGGACTTAATCGCTATGAAATTTCTGCCATCAATATTGTTTTCATAAAGTTGAGCGATAGAACTCTTCACCGTGCTCATTTAAATGTCCACGGAGATCTATTATCTAATAATTATTTCATTCCGTGTGACCTCCTCGGCATAAAGTCAATAAAATATTTCCATGTAGTTTTAAACGAAAGCCCTCAAGTTCCTGTCGTAAAAACTGGCCTCGAGGCCTACCCACTATCCTTCCATCCGAGTCCATCAAAGCTTGTCGTTCTGACGTCACCACAGCCCCTGCAAAAGAAGCAGATGAACTGCCGCTCCGCATACAATACACCGAGTTGCTTATTGGAGCGATTTCGATATTTTTGATATTAGAAGGGCTCGATAACTTGATCTTGTAAAAAATAAAAAGCAAACGCGGCGTTGCTAGGGTGGTCGACATACCTTTTGGGGTAATTATTTCTGCGACATCAATACATAAATACTAATATAGCGGTAGTACAATAAAGTATCCGCTGGTTTTATTTGTTTTATTTTTCATCCGAATACTTTAATCTATAATTTGGGATTAACTAATGTGTCTTAAAGCTAAGCCCTAAGAGTCGTTCTAATTTCGGTGCCAATCAGGGCAGGGGCAGATTTAGGGGGGGGGGGTGACGGCCCCCCCCCCCCCTAAGCTTCCCAAGGTCAACTTTGTTTTAATAAAATCATTGACACATATTAGCCAAAAGTTTAGTTTTTGGTGACATAGCAAATATTGGCTCAACTAAATAGATCGAGCACACGTGCGCAGCAAACTCCCCCCACCCTCCGCCAGCCGAATGTCTACCGCCCCTCCCAGGCCTGACCCATAAATCCGCCCCTGAATGAGGTCCCAGCAATTATGTGCGCCGCGCGACGGGTGTTTGCGTGCATGTGTCTCGTATCCACAAATATCGACGCGTATTGCCAGGTCGTGCATCGTGCTGTGTGCCGGGCAGTGCCCAATTTCACCGCGCATGTGCCCACTGCTCAATTCGGTCGTCTTCTTTGACGCCCACCGTTGATGTTGGCAATGTTACAGGTTGTTTTTTTTTTCAGAAAAAAAGGAAAACGCCGTGATATTTTATGAGGAGAAATGAACCACTAAATTATACACATCTGGTAAACATTGGACTTCACTACGTGCAGGAGCTACATTTTCTGGCCGATGTTAGAGCCAGCCTCGAGATTGCTGATGCCAGGCCTATACAGTATCAAGCTAAAAATGACTAAATTCACATCACCAAGCTAAAACAACTTCTAGAAATTCCACATACATAATTTCAATTAATCTTAAAACACATATTTATGTTCTAACAGTTATGTGCCAGCTTGTTTGATTTTATGACAAACTTAATAAAGTAACATATTGTAGTTTTTTCTTCTCCATTTATCTCGCTGTCATTAACGTTTTGTTGAATGATAGAAGTATGGTTTCAAAGTAAAGTGTAATTTGCAATGGTGTGGCTGTTTGTCTAATGTGTTAGTTTTATAGTTTTGCTTCATGAAAATGATATCTAGACTCCAACATAGAATGTTTAAACTCGGAAGGACTGTTGTTTGTGCTGTTCTGACGGTTATTTCGTCCGTTCTTTTTTATCTTCTGTGTCTCACAGCTCACAAGTATCTTGTTTCCTAACCAGATCAGCCACGATCTTTGACTTCTGAGTCAATAGCGCTGTTTTCACAAGAGCATAGTGCACCACCTGTCGGAAACCCGTATAACCACCCTAGTTCCAATAAGGCAGACTGGCAACATGAAGTATGAAGAGCGCCTACAAGATATTTGCGAAAGAATTATAAGCATCGCAATCCCTGATTAGCATCACGGTTCACTCGACATATGATGTGCGTCTGGTGCGTTATTCGTGAAAGAAGACAAACCTGATTTTGCTTTTTTCAACATGCGTTGTTTATACAATTTTGAAATCTAATGTACTTACTGTCCCGAAAAGTTTTCTCGAAACCGAGTTGTTTGAGGGCTTTCATATACGTGCTCTATATTTGTTTCTGAGACAACAGGTACTTACCAGGTTCACCTAGAATTGTTTCAGGGCCAGTTCGTTGATATGTGGCCACAAAGGGAGCCCTGAAAAAAAGAAATCACCAGCAATTAAAAGCGAGTAGAAGCTATTAAAAACTTATATCACAAAAAAAACTGTAGGTTCTAACATTCTTCAATGTGACCCAATAACTCGAGTAAGCAAATGATTTTCTATGGATGCTGTGCACGCCTTTGGGTCGTCATTGATTGAGTGAACTTGTCGTCGTTGAGATTATTTTTAAATTGTCAGGACTCCGAAGCAATTTTTCACCTCTATGCAATTTGAAGATATTTTTATTTTGCCTGGGACTTGTATAGAAAGCTGTCAATATAATGTTTCAGTCTGTAAACATTTTATGAAACATATTTGTATACAAAACGAATGGCTCTTTTTGTTTCAGTATATTCTTATAATCAAAATATCCAACCATATTGGGATCACAATATTCTTGGATATTCGGATAATATACACAGTTGTAACAAATGACTGAGAAGCAAATTACTCATATGTTAATTTCAATGTAAATAAGGTGTCGTATTAAAACGGTTTAAATCAACAAAGATGGGCATTTGGTGATAGTGTTTTTGCTTTGACATTGTATCGGACTGAGGGCCCCATGAAAAATTGTAACGTTATAATTTTTTTTTGTTGTAGAATAAATCGAATATAGCCGTATAGAAATAGGCATTAGCAGTCGTATACTAAGAGGGTCATGAAAATAATTTCTCCGCTTTTAATTTCGCCACTTCTTTAACCCCTAAGCGGGCTATCTTGGAAGACTTTCAGAAAAATATTGTTTCAACAGACTGGAATTCATATTCAAATATGTTATGGCTAAGGCGACTATGGGAGGCGAGCGTTCGCTTAAGAAGCCATTTACGTCGTAATGGCGAACTCTAAGAGTAATCCTAACCCTTTATTTTAAATCTAAATAATAAAATATAGACGGCAGACCTCACAGTCCTATTCTTAAACACTACTCAAGTCTGAACCCCATTCGAAACTCCATTCGAGGCTGGTTTGGCGTTTTATAATTTACACTGGAATCACAACTTCATTTTACTCAGAAAATACCCAACAGTTTCTTCGCAAATTTCGAGTAAGCATCGGCGTTACTTCGATATGTTGCTCCAGACGCGAGTCGGCTCTTCGGTCTAATAAAGGCCAACTCATCTTTCGCCTAGTTTGTCAATTCTGGCCTCATAATGAATGAACTGCACGACCATGAAGACGAAGGCCCCTGGGTTCCATGACATCGCTTCGGGTACGGGCTAAAACCCACTAAAATGGTTCTCCTGACGCAAATGTTTCGCCCACTACCGCTTTAGAGCCGATTCACACGACGGACCGAATCGCGATTTTCGTCCCTGTCTACCACGTGACCGGCACGTCACGGATTCCTGCGATCCGCGCCTCGTCCGCGGAGGCGCGGACTGATAAAGTCGAGCGCCTTTTTCACACGCGGAATTTTTGGCGGGGGATTGACTTGAAAAGCGTTTAGCCTGGCAACGGTACATGGTTTTCTTGGTTTCTTGCCTCTGGGCGTTTAAAACAAAAATGGCACATCGTGGTGTTTTGTGTGTTCGTTGGTTCATTTTGTCGCGCGATTCTTGGTTCCACGCGTGAAAGAAACTTTCGAAACTTTGGCCGGCTCCTCCAGGTCCGTGTCAACAAGCTCCCGTCAGAACTCACTTAGCACACCGTGATAATTCTTGCACATCCAATGAATATTTCACCGAGTTTGACCTCTCTGGTGGCTGTGGTGTACTTGAGTGCTGTGCACGAGCGCGGAGTGCGTGAAGGCACGGCCACTCGATTGTGAAGGCATCTCCAAACACCCCCTCCTCCCCCCCCCCCCCCCCCCCCCCCACGAGCCCAGAACTTTGTCGCTTCTACACCGAACTCTTCTCGAGCAGAACCATGCCTGTGTCACTGTCATGCTTTGGGTTAGTAAAGCCAGTGGCGCTTCGCGTGAAGCCTATCCGGGTGTTTTGTCTCGATCTGTACGTCACGGCGGTGTACGATTCTTCATCGCGGTAGCAAACGTCGATTTCTCTCTTGGACAGCGGTGCCACGGTGCGATGTTGTAGCTTTGCGGCACTGTGGGGTGGCAAAGAGGTTCGGTCAGTCCTCGCTGGCGTCAGCTCGTCGTCTGCCTTGTGTGGATGCGATTGGGAGGTGAACGAACCGCGGAAATGTCGCCACGTGATCGATCCGTTTGCGGGTCAGTCCGTCATCTGAATCGGCCATTACCAACGCGACGGTGGCGAACCTCCTGAAGTCCTTGCTGCTGATTGAGCGCGCGAGCAATCGTGGTCAGCCGGTTCCTCTAGTGGTCCAGCTCTAGATCAAGATGCAGTTTTGTGGCGCTTATTAATTCAAGGTTACTCGAACTGAGACATCAATATTTGAAATTCACAGTTAATAAAAAAAGCTTTAATGATATTTTAAGTCGCTATTGATATGCTCTTGAAAGCCACCAGTGCTATTCCTTATTTATATAAATGACCTAACCGAAGTGGTCCCTCGGTCTGTTTCCAGATGATTGTCTGCTGATGATTCTATTGTACTTAAAGGCATCAACACTGCTGACGGCCATTTTGCACTTCAAGAGTTTATGATCGAAATAGAGCAATGGTGTGAAACATAAAATATGGATTTGAATATTGAAAACAATTGTGCTTCTAAAATACACGAAAGAAATATATGAGTTTATTTGAGTACCACCTTCACAACATTGCCATTCCTGAGGTTACTAGCTATAAATGTTTAGGTGTTACTATTACTAGTCGTCTAATTTGGTAAATAGTTGCTCTAAAGCGTTCGTTAAACTGTGTCTTCAAAGGCAAAAGCTCAAACACGTCCCGCAGCATAGTTAAGCTCCTCGCAAACAATACGTTCATCAGGTCAAAACTCAAAAATGCATCAGCCACTTGGGATCCACAGACGGAAAAAGACATCCACCAGCTTGAACTTGTACAAAGAAAGGCAGTTAGGTTTATGTTTAGTAAATACACAGATTGGACTCACCCACTGAACCTATGAGAGATAACAAATGCCACCTCTCAATACACGTCAGAAAAGAATTCTTATTTTATTTCATTACAACATCCTGACATTCAAAGTAAGCTTAAATACGCTCCCATATCTCAATAAATTAGGTTAAAAAAACGCGATACAGTAGGGACCGCAAAACAAGCGAAAAAAGAAAATCCCTTTAAGCACATTTTTTTTTCGCAATATTTTGGATTGAAACTTACTACCAGAAACCAGTATTTAGTCAGCCAGTTTCATTCAGACATTAGAACGACACTTAGTTCGATAATTTATTCCGCGGCAATGGTCTTGCCTTTTTTGTATTATTGTTTTGTAATTTTTTTCATGTGCACCCATATGTTGTATTTTTGCAACTCCTGCTTGGGCTAGAGAACTGACCTGCACTATTATAGAATAAAATAATCAAATAACTACATAAAATATAGCATTTCCATTTTTAAGCGAAATTGAGGCTTCGTGGGTTTCTCACGCCCACTCAGAGCTTACTTCTATCCTGGTGTTAGTTCTTTAGCAACGCAGTCTGCCGGATAATACACCCACAAACATTTTATGGTCTTTACCATAGAATGCAATAACTTACCCTTGCACATAGCAGTCAGGCCAGTCCTTTCAGAGAGACTACGCCATCTTTGATTGTCATAAAATACTTTTAAATGTCGCGTTCTCGTGAAGAAGTCTCCGCTTGGATCAGATTATGTTTAATTTTGTATCTTTTGCCCATATTCCACATGCATGTGACCAGTATAACATTTTATGTAACTCCCTTGTTGCAGCCCTCAGGGATAAATCTTATCTTTGGCAATCATGAACTCAATATTTGGTTCCTTAATATACGAAAACCCAAAGTCATTAGTGTATGGAGCTATAAAGCTTGAAATTAAAGTGTTTCTTTTTTAACCCAACAAGCGTTTTTGTTTAGGACTAGCGCTTTAATGATGCCGCTGTGTACGCTGGGCACAGAGCACGGGCGCAGCTCTGAAAACAAAGTATTTTTTGTACGTGTCACCGCTCTAATGAAGCTTTCAGACCTGCAATAAAAAGTTATTAGTGTGACATAGCAGACTACACGCATTCTTTCATATAAAGTATTGAAAGAGTAACAGGAATACGATCGAAGCGTTTCGTTGCCTGATCGTCTTTCGGTATTATAGAGTCCTCTGCGTATTTAGCCGCCGTTTTCGCGCGCGTTTTGATTGCACATCACAGCTTATTTCTAATGCATCTTTCAAGGTTTATTCTTTTATTATGTGCCCTAGTTAGGTCTAGCTCTCTAGTTAGGTTCTGTGGCATGGAATTCGCTATCGAAAACGCAGGCAATGGCCATTGAAGATGTGCAACAAAGGCTAATACGTATTGTTTACGATTACAACTTCCAGCGTCGTTTTTATTTTGATTATACTTTTGTTTTTGATAAGGTTTCGCTGGTTCTTTTGTCCAATAGAAATACAGAGCGCGATTTAGTTTTCCTGTACAAGATTGTAAATAGCGTATTAGACCCTGGTTCGCTTTTCCGTGATGTAAATATCCTTGTCCCTCCCAGTTCCATTAAAAATCACAGTAGTTTCGACGTCCGCGCTGTCTGTAAACCCTCTCCTTTGTCACGAGCACAATCTCTACTTAACAGTGTTAAAAATCACGAATTGATATATTTAGTGACAATATGGTGTTCGCGAAGCAAGTAAAAGTGCCTGCTGCCCAACTGTAAATTTTTTGTGTGCTTTATATCACTTTGTATTTGAAACCTTAAATTAGGTTTTTGGTACGTTTTGCTCCTTATTGTCTCCGTGCACCAAAGAGAAGACCTGCTGGTAATTTTTGCGCACGTAAGAATAAAAATGACTAAAATGATGATGATGATGCTGATGTTAATGAGGCCATAACATTTCAATATTTGTTTTCTTGCTTTTGCATAGCATAATTGTAACCACAAATAATTGTTCACGCATCGTTTTACATAAAATACATATTGCCCACTTTGTGGTATTCCTGTTTTATGCGTAAAACGAGTTGACACGACATGTGCACTGACGTTCAACTTTTGAGTAATTTAACCGCCCTGGAAATATCTGAGAGGTAAAGAAGGTTTTAGCGCAAATAAAGCAAGCCAAGTAGCAAGAAGCCTGCATCTGGCCTGGCCAATTTTATCGGGAAGTCCACCCAAGAAAATTGGCGAGACCAGATGCTGGCTTATCAATGCCTGACTTTTGTTTTTTCTAGAAGACATCTCTACATATCAAAATACGTTACGGGAAATAATTTGTTCTTGTTCTTTTAAACCGTTGTTATTAGAATTCTCTCAAATTTAGCATTTGTAGCCCACAAATTCTGGAGTCTGTTTAGCTAAACGTTTAAAACATGGAATATTTTATAACAGAAACTTCTGCACAAAAATTAGTTCATTCATGCATCTACATGTACCTCATGGCGTAGCATTTATTCAAATATAAATATATTTATGCAATTAGTAATTTACTTAATTGCGTATATTGTAGGTCATCACAGGCCCAAGCAGGGTGTGACAATAGAAGCGAAGATCTACAATTATTTTGGGGGCAACTGAAAAAAAGCTAAACAAAATGCCTTACGTTGTGCCATTGGAGAAAGCACAGACAGGTTTCCTTCAGAATGTTTTATGCAGAGGCACAGCATACAAGCAATTACCACACACACAATATTTATTTTAAAACAAGCCATAAAAGTGCACCACAAAACAAGATGATGTTTATCAATAGATAATTTACCCAATGTTCGTATTGGCTAAATAAAGTAAAAACCACCAACATCACTAAAAAGCAGAGAACACTGGCCAGTGAAAAATATTGATATTACTAAAACTCTACTCAGTCATTGTGCAGAGTTTTAGAACAGTTTGTTATACTAGAAAGAAGCATCTGTAAACAATGAAGGCCCATCACATTTAAAATAAAGAACATGAATCAGCAAACATTTTCTACAGCTGTTCATTTAACAGTTTCATTCGGTAATTGATTCCAGTAATTTACTATGCCGGGAAAAAAGCTAGACAGATTAAAGGTCAAACGAAAGTCACGTATGTGTTTGAAATATTTATTCTAGAGGGCTGATTAAAGTTGGGGAAGCAAATGCAAGGAACGGTCATTCAAGTCTGCTTGTTCACAGAGTGCAGCTGTTTTAGCTTAGCTAATTTTCCGTGGGGTAAGCAGCAGCTCAACATATAAAATATTATCATATCAAATTAAATTTTTTTTTGCTCACCAATCACAATATAGCAAGATCTAGTTTTGTAAGGGTTAATTTTGAACTCGGTGTCAAACCAGAATATTCCACCAGGAACAGCATCAAAAAACTTCCCATCCGCAGCCCGATGCACCGTCTAAGGTGTACGCCCTACGTCTCTTACTACTGTAAGCACATGTCCATACTCACAATCCGTAGTGCATGATGATGTTCTCAAGGAGGGTTATAGAAATTCATAGACTAAAAGCTTTCCTTCATTTCCTGAAACGACTGCTTATATTTCCGAAATTAGTATAAACAATTGCTCCACCCAATCAATTATAGGACTAAGGAGGTAAGGGTGTCTGATAATCTTTTTAAAGTGTATGATAATATTTTGTGGTAGAAAATTATTCTCTTTGAAGATTCAACTCATTGTAAATGCACACTTGGAGCTATTATTTTTACGAAATTACTGTGCGCGGTCTCAAGGAATACGTTTTTTTTTGGTTTCTTTCGAAGTAGACTAAAAAAATTAGAACACTTTTTTCTTTAATTAATATGACAACTATTGGGATTAATCTTGTAACTTCTCCAGGGTATATCCTGGTAATTTGAAAAAAAAACACCCGGAGATGGCTGCTTCGGTTCTAGAAAACAAAATTCTCGACCTCCTCGACCGCCACCGACATCACAGCTCCGGCATCGCTGATGACGCCCCGGACCAAAGCTGGTGACGTGTCACAATCTGTGCCGTCAAGTTCTTGTGCCAGCTCTGAATTTTATCTAACGTCCATTACTCTAGTGTGTTGTCCAGCTCTTACTTGATCTCCGACTTTAATTTCACGTTCCGTAGTTTATTATCAAAGTGACTTCAGGGGGGTTCGCTTTTCCTTGTATGTACCGTATCTTCCGGACTATAGTCCGCACCCGGTGTATAGTCCGCAGGGGGAAATTTGGGGTCAAAAATAAAAGATTTTGCTTAGATAGCCCGCACCCGGTGCATAGCCCGCACCCGGTGCATAGTCCGCACCTGGTGCTTAGTCGACACGAAAATGTTCTCATAGACGGCACACGTTTACAAATGTCTGCTTTTTAGCTCACAATAAAGCCGATAATGTGCATAAATCATCATTAACATACACTTTCGTGCACAAAATTCGTCACGTCTCGTCATAATAAACGATCTTGAAAAACATAATTCCTGTATAGTCCGCACGCGTAGATAGTCCGCACAGCCAGAAATTTCAAGTTTTAAACATGTATAGCCCGCGGACTATAGCCCGGAAAAAACGGTACAATCTCCGGAAATACTACAGTGTTCATATCATCCCGGAAATAAATTTCACATCGCCGAAGGCTGCCTCCGTCCAAATATAGCACTAGTTGTTCGGACCATATGCCAAAGTCTAAGAGCTTGTAGTTTTGATTCAAAGTATAAAGTGATTTGCAAAGATCAAAACCTGTAAAAATGCTGCCAACGACACCGACGAGTACACAGAAAGGAATGGCGTCAGCCACTGCGAATGGTCCCGTTTTCTTATTGATACTTTCAAAAAATCACTGATAACTTTTTTTAATAAGGCATTGCTTTCTCTGATATTAGCGTTCGGCGATGCGAAGATTTTGCTGTTCCAAATATATTGTAAATGTTTTAAGGAGACACGCGGTATTTACTTTGATGTAAAATGTTAATGGGAGATTGGTTAGATACTTCTTTTCCTGTTTTTTTTTATTTTGAAGAAACATCATAACTAAGATCTTAGAGAAAAATAGTTTTTTTCTTGTGTCTATTGTGAAGATCTATATATTTTAGCGAAAGCCTTCTCGCACCATGATTCCGTATTTTGCAATGTGCTCCATATATGTTTGATAACGCATAGCACACTGCCTTATTACTCACCTTGCTTGGACGCAAAAAAGTAAGGTTGTGCTGATTCTAAGTAAAGCATTTTTAAGTAGGACAAAGAGAAAAACACTACAAATGTAGAAATATGTGGCCGGTTCGTTCAGTGTTAAAAAGGCATTCCTACGCACTCGACTACTTGGCCTGAGGGAAGCGTCGCACATAACCCAAACAAGGCACTCTTTTGCGTGCGACGCTTTCATGGTTAGTATCTTTACTTGAATTGGTTTCTGCATAGTGCAGCAGTTAAGAGAGCTACTGCCTGGCTAGATCACCTGATTTTCTGCTTCCAAGAATTACAGTAAAAATGGCTGTATTTCCTGAGTGAAAGCGTCCTCAATTTTCTCGAAAATTCCTTATAGTGCTATTGACCTCAAATGTACCATCTCATTGTCTGCTCCCATTTTTTTAGTCGGTTCAAATTAACCCATCCAGTGTTGTTTGCAATTTCAGAAGTTGTGAAATACTTACGTAGCATTTTCTTCTCTTGTCTTAAATATCGTGCACAGTCCTGCAGAACTTTTTTCGGCATACATTACTGTAGCCTCGATGCAAGTTATAGTTTTTGTACCTGTAGTAGCTTGAATATTTTTCTCATAAGAGCGCTTTATAGTATACAAAATTGTACCGTTTTCAAGGGTTTCAAGAAACTGTAAAGAGCAAAGAAATGAAAAGCAGAACTGAAAAAATTTGCGTTTGAGGTACGTATTGGAAACAATTAAGGTCGCCTATTATACCGAGCATTTAGATATATCCATATATATCTGCTGCCAACTTCACAATTACAGATTTATAACGTTCTGTCAAGAACCTGTAGTTTGTTTTTTACTGCCTAATAATGTCGTCTATGGTTAACCTTGAGGGTTTGCATACTTCAATAACCAGCGTCTTGAGGTTTTCGCGCAGCCGTTTTTCTCTTTTTTCTTCTACGAACTTAAATATACTGGATCTTTCTTTTGCATTTAGCTCATCTGTTTTTTTAGCACTCCCAATCCGTGGCATATCGTACGATCTCCAAGGTTTTCTAATTTTTCCATGTGCTTTATAACCTTGTTTATATAATTATTTTTCCTGAGGGGCTGAAATGTTAAATCTTCGTTTCTCACAATCTAACAGGGTTCTCCTCTTTTTCTAACCTGAACTCAAAACTTATTAGACAGTGGGGCCGGACGTATATCTGATCGATCTTGAAGGCTTCACACAGCAGAGCAAGATCTCTTGTTGTGCGCTGCCGCTTCCTTGAAAATGAGTGAAAATCACCCCTTTCGTGCCTTCACCACAATAGGCTACGCTCTCATGATTATGCTCTTCTGCTGGATTATTCCATACAATGCCTCTGCTGTCCATTCGCCGTCTTTGAGGCGTCATCTTTTCAGGTATGCAAGTGCAGTTTGAAGTCTCTAATCACAAGAAATATTAAATCGCATTCCAAATAACCCGCGATACTCTCAACGAACACACTTCGCTCATAGTGTGGAGCATATGTGAACATCGCACGATGCGTCACGTGTAATGATTCATGAAAGTCACATCTACAAAGCAAAACCAGTAACCCGTCTTCTTCAGAAGTTAAAAGGTAACTCCGGTCAAAATTTTCGCAATTGGGATTACGACTGTTTTCACTTCAGTCAGTGTCCCTGAATTACAAGATGTAATTTTTTTTTTCGAGACTGTGTGTAGTTTTTAAAATATCACGTTTCAAAGTTTTGTTTCGCGCGTCTTTGGCAAAGCCGCAACTGTCTGCAAGAGAGGGATTGCAACACTGACCATCATCTCAGCGGAGCCGACGTGCTTGCGGCAGCTCTTCCGAAGACGTGGAAAGCTTTTTGGTGTTTCATTTGTAGACATTGCATCTGGTGTTTTTGTGTTTTTGTATTTGTTGTTTCATTTATAGGTTTTGCTCTAGCGTGAATGAAATAGTTGGCATATATTTAGGACGTGCTAGGATAGGAAGTTAGGCTAGGTTAGGCAGCCGAGAGGCCACTAGAAAGTAAGACTAAAGTAAGGATGCGTTTTAATTTTTGGCGCCTTTTTCAAGCCTCAATACCACGATTTAAGGTAGGCACAATGACTCGGCGTAAGAAACCCCACAACGGGGGTGATGACCTAGTGTCGTAGAGTGACTCCATGTAGTTGGTGCATCTAGATGATACAAATTTCGAAAGTTTAAATGAGGCGGAGGAGGGTAGCTTATTTTGCCGAATTTAAGTTGAGAAGGGAACTGAGAAGCTAGGATCGAGGAGGTCAAGTGGAGCTTAAAGTAGAGTTTAAAAAGCGGTTGGTCAAAGAGACTCAGCTCGAGCTGTCACCTAAGAGGGAGAAACAACATAGAGTTTCAGGAACTCATCAGTGAATGGGAAGGAAAGGGAAAGCGCATGATAGCCGACCTTAGTGAGTAGTGGAAGACGCGGGTGGAGCTTGAGAGACAGGTGGAGGAGCTCAAGCAGGGGGAAGTATAGAAGGCTGGCATGGGGCAGCGTAAGAGGAAGTGCGAAGCTGGGCTGGAGCAGCTGAGGAGGGAGGCGACAGCGAACGTTGCAGGAATGGCAGTCTCACAGAAAGGAAGCACTATAATGCACAAATAAAAGTCAGCGGGACGGGAGTGGATCGTCGATCGTACAGTGCCGTAGTGGAGCAGGTTATCAGTAGTGCAGTAAAGGACGCGGTGGTGAAACGACAAAGTCAGGTAGCGTGGATAGCTGAGGGTGTCAGCCGCAGGGCAGGGATGGAGGGAAAGGGAGTGAAGATAGGCAGTCGGAGGCTAAGAGGGTACGTGTGATAGGATACCTTAACGAAACAGGGGTTAAAGGGGTCTACTTGCCAGAGTAAAAAAGGACGGGAGGGTAAACGTAGTGGCCCAGTCGAGGAAGTGCGTTGTAGACGATATGGCCAAAGCTAAGGAAGAGCTCTTGGGTAAAATGGAGGGCGGTAACCTAGCAGTAGTGCGAGCGGGACTTAATGATGTGTTGAAGGGAAGGCGCCAGAACCTCTGCAGACACATAGAGGTTGTGGTGCGTAAGCTGAGGGAGGTCTTTGAGAGGGTGCATGTGAAAATATGAACTATACCAGAGGTCTGGGGACAGCCTTTCAGGCAGAGTAGGGTATGGTGGAAGCTAACCGGGGGATTAGGGGGATGAGCCAACGACTTTAGTATAGCGTATTGGAAGTAAATAGGGGTGTGTTTGAGGCTTGTTCCGACCCTTTTGCTTGGGCCATCCACAAGTGTGGAGCCACAGGTAGCACGATAGGGGATAGGGTTAAGCGTCATGTCGTAGATTTTGTTCGAGATCCGTGGAGCCTGGAGGGCACCAGTGTAGATATACCATTGTTATATGAGCCAGTACCAGAGTTGGGCGACGCTCCTAGGTGTGAGTACCGCAAGAGCACCAGAGAGCGCAGGAGTAAGATCCCGTAGAAATAATAGAATGAATTTGCTCAATATGGGTTTCATAAACATGCAGGGAGGTAGAAACAAAATTAAGTGGGAGGATATTGGTGAGCAATTAGAGGCTGAAAATTTCAGTTTATGGAGTAGCGAAAACTCACTCTAGAGATCAAGGGAACCACCGTACATGCCAGGCTACTCCTGGATGGTATGCCACCGATGGGGAAGTGAACGCAAATGAGGAGGTCTAGGCTTGTTTTTTTATTTATTTATTTTTCAATATACCCTTCAGCGCCCAAAGACATAACAGAAAAGGGGGGGGGGGGGATATACACCGAGAGAGGAACAATAAACGAACTCTAGGTTTGTGACATAAAGTTTGCTAGAGGCAAGAGCAATAAGAATAGTGGGCTTTATACACTTATTAACGCATTTGACACATCAGGAGATAAGGTACAAGCACTCCTCAATAAGTCTGCATAAAAACTAATTGTTTGATGATGCCATGACAAGCGACTCGTGTAGACAGTTTCATTGATGAGTGGTAAGAGAAAAAAAGGGTATTGAAAGATATTAGTGCGGCACGATTATTCGCGAACCGTTTTCTGATATCTACCCTGCGTGATATGACGTGAGGTAGCTGAAGAATGTGTTAAGGAGAATGCTCGTCGTTAAAGCACATTCAAGCAAGCTGGTTAAATTTCTCAAACTTTGCAAAACATCTTGAACTGCTGAAAAAGAAAAAAAGACGTACAACTCTGCGGAGCTTTAACTGCACAAACACCCAATATTTATTTTAGAAAGATGTTTTATTTAGGTTATCGTTTTATTCATCAATTTTCTGACAAAAAATAGACTTTAAGAAAAAAATGCAAACCCATACAACGATGAGTGATTAGTGCATACCAGACCAACTGATTATGCAAAAACACTACAGAGACCAAGCTTCGTAGGGTGATATAGGATCCCTGTTTGGCCTGTGGCACCCTTCTCCACGTCTTCAAGAGAGGGCAACGTGGTCAGCGGAAAACAAGAAATATTTATTCAATTTATGCGTCACGATTACAGAAAGAACTGTTACGTAGCCCCTGGGAGCACACAAATGATCGTAATTCTGTCCATGTTATTCCAGACGTCCTGGTTGATGGCAGCATGCATGGTCACTGGTGAATGAGGTAAACGCATGCACTGAATGGAGGCTCTCGTTTCTTGCCGAGAGGGAGTTTGATGTTAGTCTTACCACAGCAAGCGGGTCCAGCAAAAGAGCCTAGATTCCATTCAGGGTCCTCGTATTTTTTTTAGAAATATGGCCGTCTTTTGTTTGATTTCTCGTTTAATAAATGCTCCAATGAACAGTTCAAATTAAGAACAAAATAACTACTGGCAAACGACTGTGACGGCCGAAAGTTTGAAAATTAGTCTTAAATTATTAATTAGGTTTCATAGATTGTATATTTGAGCTATCGGAAGACGCTTGCAAGCAAAGCACAGTCGGTTTCATCGCGTAGAGCTCTCTGATTTTTTAAAATCTTAGTTTGTTCTAAATGGGACACCCTGCATATTCTTGCCCAAGCAAACCGTTTTCTCTGAGAGGCCAAGACGCCAGGAACATTTATTTTAAATCCATCACAAAATTAAGAGGACCCCTCACGTACACTTTACTTCAGGGATGCTTTTCCTCACCGCTCGTTTATTCACAAAAAAGCTGTCTCCTCAGAAACATATCTACTCAACTACAAATTGCCAACTTAATTTTTACCATACCGTTACTTTAGGTTCTGGCTTGTCACGTTGCACAGCACGGTAATATTTTACGTCTCCAGCGGTTGCCAAATCGAGCATCCATTCCCAGTAGACGTCCCGACCTGGTAGGATGTTCCGTCTCGTTGGGTATTCAGTCACTGTGGACAACATTCAAGCCAGGTTGGATTTTCCATTTGGATGGATATTCAGGTACGGTGGACATGCAGGCCTGGTTGGATCTTCCGTCTGGTTAGATATTAATACTCGTTGGACATTCCGTCTCAATTGGACATTTCGTCTCTATGGATACTCCGTCTCGTCTGTCACGTGACCAATTGGATTTTACGACTCGTTGGATCTTCTGTCTCGATGGATATTCGGGCCGTAAGCGGCCCCTTTGCTTGGGTGCTAGTGCTGTGAAAAGAGGAAGCTCTTCCCCAAACGTGCCGCAAAACAAGGTCCTCTCACACTCCGTCTGGTGTGGTCGAGAAGTGACTGTCATCGACACTGTTCACTAGATGT